ATTAGCTCACTCAAAACACTTCACCGTCGAGCTGATCCACCGTGACTCTCCTCATTCCCCACTCTACAACCCACTAAACACCGTCACCGACCGCCTCAACGCCGCTTTCCTCCGTTCAATCTCTCGTTCTCGCCGCTTCAATCATCAACAAACCCAAACCGATCTCCAATCCGGTTTAATCGGAGCAGGCGGGGAGTTTTTCATGAGTATCACCATCGGTACTCCACCAACCAAGGTCTTTGCGATCGCTGACACAGGAAGTGACCTAACTTGGGTCCAATGCAAACCTTGTCAACAATGTTACAAACAAAACAGTCCAATCTTCGACAAGAAGAAATCCTCTACTTACAAGAACGAGCCTTGCGACTCACGTAACTGCCACGCCTTATCCACCAACGAGCGTGGATGCGACGAAACGAAAAACGTATGCAAGTACCGTTACTCTTACGGAGACCAGTCTTTCACCAAAGGAGACGTTGCCACAGAAACCATCTCCATTGGCTCTGCTTCAGGGTCCCCTGTTTCTTTCCCCGGTACCGTTTTCGGTTGCGGTTACAACAATGGCGGTACATTCGACGAGACTGGTTCCGGGATCATCAGTCTAGGCGGTGGTTCGTTATCTCTAATCTCCCAGCTCGGTTCGTCGATTTCGAAGAAATTCTCCTATTGCTTGTCGCACAAGTCATCAACCATGAATGGCTCAAGCGTCATAAACCTAGGTACCAACTCGATTCCTTCCGGTCTAAGTAAAGCTTCAGGCGTGATATCGACTCCGTTGGTCGATAAAGAGCCTCGTACGTACTACTACTTGACCCTTGAAGCCATTTCCGTTGGCAAAACAAAGATTCCGTACACCGGAAACTCGTATAGCCCTAATGAAGACGACGGAACGTTCTCGGAGAAGTCTGGAAACATCATAATCGACTCTGGAACGACACTGACACTCCTCGACTCTGGTTTTTACGACAGGTTTGGCGCAGTAGTGGAAGAATCGGTGACCGGAGCAAAACGCGTGAGTGATCCACAAGGGCTTTTGTCACACTGTTTCAGAGCCGGAAAAGCAGAGATCGGTTTGCCGGAGATTACGGTGCATTTCACCGGTGCAGATGTGAGGTTGAGTCCGATTAATGCGTTCGTGAAAGTGAGTGAAGATATGGTTTGCCTGAGCATGATTCCGACAACCGACATTGCAATCTATGGGAACTTTGCTCAGATGGATTTTCTCGTTGGGTATGACTTGGAGACAAGAACAGTGTCGTTTCAAAGCATGGATTGTGCTGGGAATTTGTGATTTTAAAAAACGTGTCTTATTCATAAAATCATAAATCAAAGTTTCTACTAAATAAATACTGCCACTTTTTCTAAATTTATTTCCTCTTTGATATTATGCATACGATCCAAAAATAGCACTACGAAAGTACGTTGATAACTAACTTAAGAAAACCAAAAATATATCTCTAGCTACCCATAATAGAGAGATTATTGAGATTCTCAGAAGAGTTTTTTTCTACAATGGATGGTCATATACATTTGAGTTTCATGTTTAGATCAAATGAACCAATCTCAGAAACATTCTAAGTAAAAGAATTCAAAGGCAACAAAAAAAAAAAAGAGGTACTAAAATGAATGGCTCGAACCTTGTACTATAAAATCGAAATCGAAAAGAGAGACTTGTGAATGTGATCAGTCGGAGCTGGAATCGTAGAACTCGCTAGGGCAAGGAGTCATAACTTCGGATTCGAGTAACTGAACGACTCTGTGCATTGTAGGCCGCTCATCTGGACTTGAAGACACACACTTCGTTGCTATTGACAGAAGAGCATCAAGACTGTCTGTCTCCACTCCTTCACAGCTTCTATCAACAATCTCCCTTGCCCGGTTTTCGCTGATTAAGAAGTTTAGCTGCAAGGTTTATGGAAAAAGAAAACTTCAGCTTTTACTAGTCAATATTGTTATCAAAGCTGGACCTCATTTTGCTTACCCAACCAACAACGTTATAGCCTTTCTCGATGAAGGAGGTATCCGTGGGGAGTTTACCACTCAAGACTTCAAGAACCAAAACCCCAAAACTGTAAACATCCGTTTTCTCAGTCGCTCTACCGCTTTGCATATACTCTACAACCAGCACTCATGATTACACAGGTTAGGTCCTACGACAGAAAGTAAACAAGTAAAAGGCTATTAGTGCAATTAGGTACCTGGAGCCAAGTAGCCGAATGTGCCTGCAACAATGGTTGTAATATGAGATTCTTCGTCCTCTAACAACTTAGCAAGCCCAAAGTCCGACACACGAGCCTCCAGATTTCCATCGAGCAAAATGTTGCTCGACTTTATATCACGATGTATAATCCTAGGAGAACAATCATGATGCAAGTATGCCAACCCTTTTGCTGCTCCTATTATGATATTTACACGTGAATCCCAGTCCAGTTGGTCGCCTCTCTCTACACATCCAAAGATTCCATTCAATAAAATCATAGTTCTCAGTTAGGAAAAGTCATAAAGATGAAGTTGAAGTTTTACCATGAAGAACTTCATCAAGGCTACCACCAGGAAGGTAATCATATAACAGAAGCTTCGATGTGGGTGAGTTGCAGTATCCACGTAGATTTACGAGATAACGATGTTTGATGCTCCCAAGAATCTCAAGCTCCCTTTCAAAAAACCGATCAAACCCTTCATTTAACTTAACAATTCTTTTCAGCGCAAAAACATTGCCGTCGTCCATGGCCAGCTTGTACACTGTTCCAAAGCCTCCACAGCCTATTATGTGCTCTTCGTTAAGAGTTTCTAGTTTCTTGATAATGTCTTTGGAAGCATAGGGCAAATCTCCATGGAACATCACGATAGACGCACCTGGATAGTAAAACCGTGTCTCATGGTATCCACAAATTTTTTTGAGAGTAATATATAAAACTGAGTTCTAATTTTTTTTTCTAGATGTTATCCACAAAAAGAGTCAGCGCGGCTCACCTCCACCCACATCTATCGCAAGGGTTTTATTTTCAACTCTACCAAGCTTTTTATAGAGAAAGCATCCCCAGAAACACATGAGCGCCACTAGGAGCAGCCCACCCACAGTTGCTGATGCACTTACAAGCAGCCTACCAGGATTCTTACCTCCTTGGCCTATAATATGGGAGACACCAGAAAGCATTCTCATGTTACAACGAATTCTACAGATTAGTCAAGATCTAAGCAATAATCCATATATACCCTAACCAGCAAAATAATTAAGACACTGTTGCTTCACCTGTTGAAAACCCAGTAGAAGGGTTTCCACTGTCATCTTGGCACACCACATCGATTTGCTTTCCACACAAATTACGATTTCCGATGAAGCTGCAAAGAGTAATGCATCAGTTCAAGTCTCCGTTATTTTCAGCTACACACTGGTACAAAGCTAGCAAAATGGTGCTACTGTGCACAAAGTCACCAAAATATATTTGCTTTGCCAGTACATTAGAGAGATTTCTCCACCTTTGTTAAAAAAACTCTAGAAAGGGGTAAAAATAACGTATACTTACGAGTCTCTCGAAAATCGAGCAAGTAGGCCATCCGAAGGTATTTGTCCCACCAAAAAATTGTATGAGACATTGCTTTAAGAAAAGAATCAACCTAGTTAGCAACAATGACACTCAAATACACACATGACTGCAAAATAATATACACAAGTTAGAAATTAGCCACTCACAAACTAGTAAGCTTTTCCAACTGCCCAAGTGAAGCAGGGATCGCTCCACTGAGAGTGTTGCTTGAAATATCCCTTAATAAATAGAGAGTAAAAATCAGTTTCGTAGTTCAGAAGAATCCAGATGATATGCCCATCTGAACTGAGTGAAGCCCTAGCATAGATTTACAACATTCATCATCATATTCAAGAGTTTTGTACCCAGCACAAAGTTCACAATACGTGTGTTGGATATTAATTATATTTTTACCAGGTTCTCAACCGCTACGAATACCATCATGCTATCAACTACCCTGTAGTTTTTAAGGTTCACCACGACTAGAGGAAATACATACTTTTGAAAAATATTATTTTGTTACTGCATAGAAGGTGAGAAGAACCTCTTGTGGTTCACTATATAATAATAGAGGATACTAAGTGTGAGAGTGACTACTGGAACAACAAAATAGCAGATCCTGCAGAGGCCAAGAAAACAAATCTACTTAGAAGAACAAGGAGAGAGACGGCGTACAGATTTTTAAGCCCGGACAGCTTTCCAATTTCATTTGGGATTGGCCCAGTCAAGTAATTATTCTGCAAGTATCTGCAAGAAATATAGGGGAAATAAAGAAGAAGCCAAATCACAACGATTCTTGTAAACAAGCTAAACTTTTGACTGACAAAACCCTTTTGTTTAATATCAATCACTAGACACAACGATCTTATATAGCAACTATAAAGAAGCAAATGCAGGAAAACATAAGCTATTTTTTGTCAGAAAAATAGTCCAGATTTGAAAAAAGAACAAAAAAACCAATTCACTCAGCAATGAAGTGTAATCAGTATAACTATTTTGAGAAAGGACTTACATTCCCTCCAATGCCGTACAATTTCCCAATGCTGTAGGTATTGAGCCATAGAATTCATTGTTGTGAAGCATTCTGCGATGACAAGGGAATATACAAACATTAAGCAGGAGAGCATACTCTAAGAAGCAATTAATTTAATAGGGTTAGAGAGCACATACAAAAGCCTCAACTGATCCAGCTTCCCAAACTCAGGGGGTATAGGTCCAATTAGTTTGTGATGAGTAAAACTCCTGTGCACAAGAAACTTTAGGAACCAACGAAGGATGCACCACATAATGAAGAAAAAAGGAGTTTAAACCAAACAAGTTTCAAAACTTACAAGGCTATAACTCTTTTAGTTTTCACATCACAGGTCACCCCCTTCCAGTTACATGGATCAGGATCCTCTGGTCTCCACTGACGGATGACGCCATCAGAACTAGAAACTGCATTTCTTAAGCTCAGAAGCGCCTCACCTGGAGAACGAAAAGAACAGATAGAAATGAAGCTCTAGAGCTGTCTGGGCGCAGTTGGTGATCAAAATTTGTCAACACACAAAATATGGAAGAGATTAAGGAAACATATCCGTGTACCATCAGGACTAATCGCTTCATTTTCATTCATTAGTACACAAAGCAATGAGATCAAAAGAAGGTATGAGCAGCAACACTTTATCAGACAGATGCCCATAATGGCACCGTTCAAGCATAATATAGTTACTGTCAATCATCTGAAAGAACAGGCTCCAGAACTTTTCCCTCGTAGCATCAGCTCCTCGACGATGCTCTGTCTATCTTTAAGAACAAAAAGAAGCTCCTGAAGATAAAGAAATTTATGTCACTACATTGTATAACAAAAATAGCAGGTGAAAGATAGATGTAATGAACTCATTATCAACTTCTAGGTCCGTTGAAACTACAGTGAACTCTGAACTTCCAGATTATAGATTCTTCTATTGGCATTATTACCTACTCATACAGCAACCATCTACCAAAGCCTACTCAAATAAGACCATTCCCCAAAACAAGATGTGGAATCCTTTGATACACGGAAAATACACTATCGATCCCCTAATAAAGTCGAACCCAGAACTACATGAAGATTTTCCATTATAAGAAATAAGCGACGAAGTATGAGAAAAACTGGAACCAACCAGGCCTCAAATCTCACAGTAATACCTCGTACATTTGCCTAAACCAGACTACCAAATCCTCAATTACATCGATGCATAACCTTTGCATGATCTAGCACCCAGAACAGTGAGATTGTCCAAAACGGATCAAATCCACCTCCCAATTTCCAAAATCAGAAACCAAAAATGAAATTCTCTCCCAATAAACCCCAACTCCCTCAAAGACTAACTGGAATCACGAAATTCCGAGACATCATTGCAGTCTCAGCACAAGAAGAACTGAAGAGTCAAACAATTCAATGATCTAAATCGAAAGCCATTCGCATACAAATCAGACGAAAATCAGACTTCCCCGAAGAAAACAACAAAAACGCGAAAGAGAATGAAAGGGAAATGGAAATTACACGAACCTCAAAAATGGATCCGC